AAGATGTTTGAGATCTTGCTGGAAGAGGATGTGCAGACTGAGAAACACTTGAGTGTGGTGTGGAGATGGGTAGAGCATCAGCTGAATGTGTGGTGCAGAGAGTGACTCTACCTGTGCTCTGCATGAGGTAGAGACCTCGGGCCCGAGCAGAGGATGGGGCTTTGTGTAGATCCTTGGGGCAAGGAGGTTCAGTGCAGGTGACCGGTTAGGCCACTTACYGCCACGAGCTACAGACTGGGTCATGACAGATCCTACAAGAAAGCCTGGGCACCGTTGAGCAGAAGTTTCCCTCACTGACCCGCAGCGTTGTGCTGGGCTGAGTGCACCAGGAACCAGCGGCTGCAGCACTCCAAGAGGACAAGTCGTTCACTGCTTTACAAGTTTTTTTTGTTTTGTTTTTTGTTTTGCTGCAGTTCAGTACTGCCAAAACCTAAATATTGTGCTGCAGTGGTGGGTTCTGGAAGTAGATTCAACTCAAACGGTGTAAAAGGTCAGGGAAGGATCACAAGTAGRAGTTGAAAAGTCACAAATGGACCACCTGTCTCCACGTGTCCCTSTCAGGGTAATTTTAAGTTTTAGCAAGTGATGAATTTTATCTTCAATTGCTAGAGAAATATACTTTTCAACTCAGGAGTAAATTTTGCAGGATTTAATCTACAAACTCTTCCATGTTTCAGAGTGAGAGATCAAAGAAAATCCCAAATGGAAAACATGCTTTTGAGGTGTGGGGGGGAAGTTCCTAGTTCTCATACTCTTGTAATGAAGATGACTTAATTAAAATCAAAGCAAAACTAATTAGGAACTTAAAAGTGCAAGTTAATGGTTGCATAATATCTTCCGAAGGTGGCCAAGCCACTTCATTATCAATGGAGGTTCATGTAGGGTGGGCAGGTYGTGCAGTCACCAGTAGATTGGGATGGGACCCTCACTGCTCCGTTCTGGCTTTGTTGCTCGTGTAGATAACAAACCTGGAGCCTTTCTGGGGCGACTTGGGAGCGTTTTGGAACCATAATAAACTTCTTTTTTTTTTTTTTTTTGAATTAAAGCATGAAATTGAATGAAACATTCACACCTAAATGACATATGTAAAAGTTTGCAATTAGGATTTTTATTCCTAAACATTCATTCATGTAATGCCAGATCGCCATAGATGGAGAGATTAGGTTTGAATGCGTTTTTGGATTAGTTTGCATGTGTGGGGTGTTTTATATGAATATTTAGGGAAGCCTAATGAGCACCCTCCCTGCTATGACGAATCAAGAATTCATCAGGTTATTTAAGCCTTCCCTGCTTTGAAGAGTGCTGCCATCTGGGAGGCTGTTCCGGGGGTCTCGGGTGCTCTGCGCAGATGGAGAGCAGAAGGGCTCTGCGGACAGCGCATCCCGAGCAGCTCCAAGCCGAGCAGGGTGCTGGAATTGCCTCAGTTGGGGCAGATCCAGGGAGCATGCGGGTGAGGGATCACTGGCAGGGAAGGAGAACTCTGGAAGTGGAGCTGGTCCTGATGCCTGCAGGGAAAATAGCTCTGGAAACAGAGCTGCTGCTTCCTTGTGTGCCTGGCTTTTTGACCAAGGCAGATAATAGATTCACAACAAATCATTTACGTTCTTGTGCTGGAATTGAAGAAGCACTCAATTATATAAACATATCTTCTGTAGAGTTCTTTTTTTTTTTTTTTTTTGAGCTCTCTTGACCTGCTTTCYATAATTGCTCTCATTCAACTAAGAAGAATCCAGATCCCTTTGACCTCTGCTCCTCGCTGTGGTCACAGGCAGGGACCTTCCTCCCCGGTCACGCAGGAGCCGGGTGCCTGGCTGTGGAGGCAGCGTCCCTGGCGCTGCTGCAGCGCTCCTGCCCGTGCAGGTACCCGTCACCGCCTCGATTCGGAGTTACTGGTGTTGGTTGTTCTGCTTGCTGAGTGTTAGCAGCGCATCCCAACTCTGAGCGTCGTCATATTTGAAAACAGCAAATGCAGATTAACTGGAATTTTGGTTTTGTGCTTTAGTGCAGTTGCGTAAGTTGTAATGGTATCTTTTTTTCTCTTATGCGAGAAGAGATTTCAAGCTTTGTCCTCTTAAAAACCTGCCAGTCTTTTGACAAAATAAATTTTTGTCTCAAGCAACATATTTACTTTAAAGCAAAAGCACCAGCGTTTTTGTGCAACTTTCCTCCTTGGAGGCAGTGCCAGGTGTTTGCGGCACAGGGTAGGAGGTGGCTCCTCAGGGAGGTGAAGCTTTCAGTGACCCGGGGAGAGATGATTTCTAACCATCTGCTCTGCAGCGCCGAGAATCAATATGTTAAAAATATGTGAATTTTCTCATCCTCCGGGAGCCTCTCTGTGCAGTGCTAGAGTGCAGAAGGAAACGGTGTCCTCGGAGAGGGGCTCAGAAAATAACTCTTTTCTCCAGGTAGCAAACATGACCTAGCTGTCCACTTAAATAAAAAACATCCCTTATCTTTTTGTTTGTTTTTTTTTCTTTTAAAACACCAGTTAATGAATCTTTACAAGTAATGGAGCCAGTTAATTTTGTGAAGATATGCAAGATAAAGCAGTTTGGAAAAACACTGTTTCAGAGCCAATAAACCCTGAGCTCGTAGTAAGCTCCTTTACTCTAAACAAGTTCTATTTTAAAAAAATATTTTTTAAGTTAAAATGTATTTCTTCACTCTAGGTTTTTCTGAAGGTAAAGAATGTAAAAAACTCAACTTTTTTTTGGTACTGTTGAATAGTAGGTGTTTAATTATGTGGAAATGACAAAATAATTTCAATCTACTGAAATTTAAAAAGACCTTTTATTTTTCTGTTCTTTTATTCTCCTCCCTGTTCTTCTCCTCCCCCCCCCCAAAAAAAAAAAAGAAAGCCCAAACCAATTTCATACCTTTCTGTTAAGTTGTCTTCATAGTCACTGCACCAAAACCACGTACATGTGGAAGAGGAGCTCTGAAACTTCCCATTGATCTCACTGGCAGCACCACAGGTTTAAATAACTATACTGGATTTTTTCATCACTCTCATATATATAATTTTTCCTCTCGATGCTGGTGCTGCTTGCTGCAGTAAATAAGCAGACTTGCAGTGTTATGTTTTGACATAAATGACAATATTGATTTTTTTCCCCTCGCCTAATTATTGCTAGTTAGGACTTGCAGGAAGGAAACAATGATTTTTTTCCTAGGTATTTTACATGTAGGTGATTGAGTGGGTTTGTAGAGCCCGTCACATGTGTAAGCCTAGCTATGTAAATGTTTTGATACTGAAGATACTACTGTCAATTAAATGCACACATTTTTCCATGGTATAATACAGAGGCACAGTAGATAACTGGGTGGTTTTTTTAGTGCTTACATGCCTATAATGAACAACCATGGATTGCATGGAGAATGACAGATACTATATAATGCACTGTAGGTTTCTGTAAGCTCTGTGTTCTCAAAATCCATGATCAATTGTTTCTTTATGTTGGATCTAGATACATGCTTAGTTTGTGTTAATGCATACTTTGAAATGCTGAAACTCACCCAACTCCCTCCTTCAAAAACTGCAAAATTTCCTCTGCAAGAACGTAGATCTTTGCTTTTAAACAGTCACCTTTTACAAAACATGACCGAGGTGAAGTGCCTCATCACTCTGTGGTTTTAGTAAATGCAAGAAATTAAAGTATAACACAAATGCCTAAGACTTCTGCAGAGTAACAGAAGGAGCAACATAGCTACTACATATTACTGTAATTTTTTTTTGAAATACCTGTTTTGTTTAGGAGTCTAAGTTATTCTGAGGAACATTTTTTATTATGATGCTAATTGGCAGTTTACATATCTGACTCGGAAATGAACACCACGAGACTTCCTGGTAATTGCAGGTGTTTGGCCACGAGCTGTAGCCAAACAGCTCATGTTTGGGAGCAGTTCATCAAACACTGAAAGTAGCCACGTAGGACGACGTGAATTGCAGCAGCCTAATAATGATTAGAAAAGATATTATAAGTCATTTGTTTTCAGCATGAACCAAACTGATGGACTGATCTAGAAATGGAGTTGGGCTTAATTCTCTCCTTATTTATACACTTTTATATCTCTGTAACAAATATCGACTCCAGTGAAGTTATTCTCTACTCATATTAGTATAAGGGAGAGAACTATCCAAAAAGTTTTTCCCTGAGACTTGCAATGTGACAGTGTGGAAGGCAGTGCTGCAGTTGGTATTTCCACAAAGTGGATGCAAAGGTATTGCACAGAAACTCTGAGCTTTAGTTAGCAGCTTATTGGGATAATTTGATGGTAATTAATGATGGAGTCGTGTTGCGTTAACTCCCCCAGTTCTCAAGGTCAGCAGACTTTCTTTGGAGCTGGGAGCTAGGCTGGATGTGCCATATGGCCAAAACTGCCCTCCSTAGACCCTTGTGTTTGAGGTGCCTCTTTCTGACTTCAAATAACAGGTTCTTTGCCTCCAACTTTGTCACATGAAATCTAGAATATTGTTATATGTAAAACTTCAGCTAAGATTTAGTTGTTAAAATAGTTATTTAAAGCACTAGTCAAAAACATACATATTCAAAAATGTACAAATACAAAAATACGTCCTGGGAAAATCTGGTTACAGCAGCAATGTGGCAGTATTTTCTGGGGACGGGAGAGCAGACATGCAAATGCTGTGAAATTAAACCTTGTTGAACTCCACGCAGCAGAGAAACTTACTTGATTGTGAAGCAGTTGAAAAGAACAGAATTTCTTAAAACTCTCCCTTGTAGAGGTGCTTTCTGCTTCTTTATGGCTGGTTGGAAGAGGGAGTCCCACTGCAACCCTGCRGGCTGCAGGGCTGTCCAGCCGCAGCGAGGGCACTGTCTTTAGCCATCCCATTAAGTTAGTRTTTCACATTATTTTTATTCTTTACTTTGATTTCTCATTTAAAATTTGCATTGTTTTCGCTTTTGTTTTTCATTGTGTTGCTTTATTTTTGTTCACTTTTTTCAAATCATTCCATTTCAAACTGTTGTTGTTTTCAGAAGCTCATCGACTTTGTGACGTAGGAGAGTTTCTCTGTCGCGATCGCGTCACTTGTGTCTCTCAACACTGGCTGTGTGACGGAGAACCCGACTGTCCTGACGATTCAGATGAGTCTTTAGACACATGTAAGTAARGAAGGCACCAATATGATTTTGTTTCCCACGTAGCTGTAACATTTGGAGCTGCACTCAGCATAAAATTGCAAGGATGAATTTTGCTTTTTAAATCTCCCCAAATAAATCTTCCTATCAAGGAGAATAGGTTTCATTCACTGTCTAGGTGAGAGGCAAAAGAAATGGGAGGTGTTTTATTCATGTGCCACCTTGCAATGAACGCTCTCACCAGAGCATATGTTCCTTATGCTCAGGCTGAGCTGATAGATTAGCTATAGAGGGCAGAGGCAAAGTCAGACGCAGGAAAAAAATGCTTCTCTGAGAAGGAGAGAGGYGGGTTGAAAGTGAGTAGTGCACAAATGTTTTCAATAAAAGTAACGGGAGTGTGCAGACATCAAAGGGAGAAATGAAAGAAAASGAAAAACTGCAATGGAAAAGAGGCAAAGAAAGGAAAATGAGGGAAAGCTTTAATAAAACATGGTTAATTATAATAGGAGAGCTTGTTTTTCATGCTGCTGAAGATGAGAATAGCAACCATACAGATTTTTTTTTATCAGCCTTGTAGCTTACTGATGAAGTGATATTAAATCTTAATGTTCTCTTGTTTCCTGTGTTCTGAGGAGGAAAACAAGGGAATTTCCTGGTTGTATCCCCAGGATAAGCAGTTAATGTGAGAGAGAAACTATGCCTTTCCCAAGGAATTCTCGTCATCAAGAAGGCTAGAAATAGGMATGGGTTTGCTTTTCCGCTAAAGGGAAAAATATCATGTATCAGACAGTACTTAGGAGCCTTTGCTGTAAGGTAAGGGGAGGGCAGAAAGTTGCTGTGTCTGGAAACCATTTCTGGCTGGGCAAGCATTGCACAAATGACTTCAACCCTCCTGCTCCACAGTTTGCTCTTTGAGATGGATGGAAAATTGCTTCTGAGATGGTGACGAGGATCCTCTGATTAACCRTTTGTGAAACACTTCAGAGTCCTCAAGAAACAAAACATTCTGTTTGGAAACATCAGATACGTTTAGAGTTTTTATTACTGCACTGATGTGATTGCTCCCAATGCAATAATTATTYTGAAGCACAGTGTCAGCATCTGCAGATGAAAGGGGTTTTTGTTTTGTGTTTTTTTCCTAGTTAATGAATGTTGTGATAAATACACAAAAGCCACACTCACAGATTTTAGTTTTGACTCCTAATCTTTATTTCCTAGTTCCAAAATGCAGTTCCAAATCCAGCAACTTGCCAGGTATCTAGATAGTTAGCCGTACATATTTGATTGCACTGGGTCTGTATTCTGTATGATCTGCAGTCAGTAATGCCATTTAAAATCTYAGAAACACAAATTTTGAAGAAGGAAAAGGAAGGGTGGGCAGGAAGGAAGCTCTTCTTCCTAACCTCAGCTCCTTGGAGAAATAACTCCTCTTTTGCAAGTAGCAATTGCCATCATATCCATTGCTTATGTTGTCCTAAGTCAAAGGTAGGTGGTAGATTTGCAGCTTTTCTGGCTAAATTCTTAGACCCAAGCCAGCTTGTTGCCAGCTTGTTTGCTGGTTGATCAGGTACCTGGGCGGCATTTGACTGTGCAAGGTGAAATTGGAATTTGTGACATGACTGGTGTCTCATTCCCTGCTGGAGCAAGGGGTTRGACTAGATGATGTGTAGAGGTCCCATTCCACCTCAGCCATTCTGGGATTCTGTGCTGGCTAAGGCCTCTGCTTAACAATCAGCTCTGTGATGCTGAGAGGAAATTTAAGTATTTGTTCTCAGTTATATGTTGATACTAATGGTTCAGGTAGCTCCTGCAATATGTGTGTGCCTCATGAAGGGAGCTGTTTCTACATGTTAGAGGTGACTAATGTACCTTATTTTTGTCCAGCTATCCGAGCATATTTTTATGAATTATCTTGGCATTAATGCCGGAGACTCCAAACCTTCAGTTTCAGAGCATCAGGTGGCCTGTCTGCTTGTTTATAGATGAATGCAGCTTCTATTTGTCAGCTCTTTGTTGACTTATATAGGGTGAGTTATTTGATGTAGCCTGACAGATATTACTAGTTGTTCCTTTAGCCATAAACAAATGAAGTTTGATTGATTTTTCTGTGGATTTGTGCCTAGTGAAAGGGTTTTCTGGATTCTAATAATGTGTAAGGATTGATCAAAGCTTTTCCTGCAAGTGGTTCTTAGCTTCTTTTGCAGGTGGATTTCAAGGTGTCTAAAAGGAGGTAAGTTCTTATGCTGCAGCTTTTCCCACAGTGAGGATATGAAAAGTTGTGGTGTGTTCTGTCACTCAGCCATCTATTGCAGAGAATTTTTAAGAACAGAAGTTTTRAGAACTAAATATCTCTGAGCTTTCTACTGGTGGCATTTTGACCGGATTTTCAATAGAGCCCCAAAGTTATTGGGCGATGCAAGTATGGACCCTGTAACTGTATCCCTCTAGATCRTACCCTCTACAATCCCCATGAAAATAGGCAATCTAGCCCCCATATTAGCTGCAGTAAAGAGATCTAGGAAGAGCAGAGAGGAGGAAAAATATGACCTTTTCAGTTGGTGTTAAATTCTGTCTCTGTGCCGGAACCTATGAAGGTTGGATCAGCTTTATGCACCTACAGCTTCTGTTCCCTCCAGCCAAGCAGTTTGATGGAGTGTCCTGTCACTGCTTGTGCTCTTCCGAGCTTCCCACACCAGTCTGCGACCCTSCTGCTTCCCATCTTCCAGGGATCTTCCAGATAGCTCTGGAAAAGCAGCAGTGAATTCCTGTTGCACCTTCCCTTGTGCTCCGTTCCATTTCCTAGCAGCTCTAATTCTTTCTCCTCTCAGTGGAATTGCTGCTTTTTATAGTACCCAAGAACCTGGTTTGGTGATTCATAATGAATATTTTAGTGAACAAATTCTGTTGCTTTTCCGTTAGTGAATTGTTCATGAGAAAATTGATTTTTAAAAGTTATATTAATAAAACTCTTGACCAAGTAATTTCTACCCTGTCTTGGGCAGAAAGTCTCTAGGCTTTTCATGARGCTTTTGCAAATATTCAGGGTTCAAAAATCAATTTATTTAATGTAATCGGATGATGCCAGCCTCTCTGGTAGGCTAARTGAAGCTCTCTAGAAATCAATAGTGCTCTATCAGGTTCTCCAGGATCTGAGCCAATGTGTCTGACTCTTACAGGTAGATTTTAGGCTGGAGTTTACAGAAGTTTAGAGAACTTATCTATATTTTAAAAAATAAATAAATAATCCCACCTCTTTTGGCRGGATAAATACAGAATGGTCAAAATACTGTTGACAAATAATGACCTTGTAAAATATCTGAATATCAGTTTTGTATTGCCTGCTTTATACACTCGGTAGTTAGTAGAAATCAACATTACACAATTGTTTTCAATTTTATGGGTCTTGCCACCCATCGTGCTTAACAAGTGTAAGCATTTGCCTCTCTCAGCAGATTTTAAAGGGAATTAAGAAGGGAAGTTCATTAAATGTGTCTCAAAGCACAAACCTAAAGCACTGTTGTTTGGGGGTCCTAGTGTTTGCGCTGTTCCACGCTTGAAGCTCCGACTGAAATAATTCACTGCCAGTAAAGCAGCTGCCCAAGAAACATAACTTGAGGTCCTGTTATGTGGCTTTTCCCTTCAACTGCGGGGAAATAAAACCTAATAAATAAAACTCTTAATAAATACATAAAATCAAATAGGGTTGTGATCTAAAAGGTGTTTTTGGAAATGATTCCAGTAATTTGTATTGAGGAATTTCTTAYGTGAACAGTTGCCTGGGTTGCACATTCTTTTCCAACCTCCGCTCACGAATGCCGCTCTATCCAAGTACATCAAGCTAAGGAGAGGTAAAACAGAGGAGCGTGAAAATGAGTTGTTTTCTGCAGCTTCCTTTGGATCTTTGCCCATCCGTTGTGCTTGTTTTCGTTACACTGAGTGCAGCAGCAGTCCCAGCAAGGGAACTTACTGTCTCTTAGCCATGAACTAGAAGAAGCTGCTGTGTTTCTGCCTGATATCTGCTCTGTGAAGAAAGGCTGGAGGTCTGAATTCTTTTTCCACCATCACGGCCTATTGCAGGCTGGGGAGCTCTGCCACAGCATGGATGAGTGCCCTGGGAACAGCCTCTGATGCCAAGTATTGCTTGAGAGAAGTAAGTACCCTGGAAGAGAAAACAACACTGGGCACTATCAGCCCTCCTACTCCCATGGCATAAAGGCCCTCAGTGCTCTGTTATTTTTAGCATGAATTTTTTTTTTAAAACAATTTGCTGCAATTCTGTCTTTTGTACCTTCCCCAGCTACCTGTTTGTTATCTGGCAGTGCTGTTTCTGTATCTGAGCCCCATCAGAGGGCACCCAAGCAGCCATCTGAGCACAAGCGACTCGCAGGGTTTTACTTGTAGCCACATGGTCCCGCAATGACCCTGGTCCTAGTTTCCAGCCCAAACGGCTAAATTCTGAACTTATCTCTAGAATGAGTAGTTGTAACCTTATCATAACCATGTTGAAGTTAGCTCTGATAACAGTCCTGCTCTAKGACTAGCTGCTCCAAGTGCAATTAAAGGAGCAAAAGAAGGCAGCAAGAAGAAAGCTCCAGTTGACGGAGCTTCAGCCTCACTCCACTAAAATAGCTTTTCCCATTTGCAGGATGTTAATTGTGTGGAACTAGTTTCACAAGCTTGAAAATTGTTAATTGGGTACCTGAACTGTACTTCTCTTTCCAGTAAATGATGAGATAATCAGCTGCTGTGTCACTCTTATGGTCTGAAACAATGAAAATCAAACTTTGTAAAGCTCCTAAATCTTTCATAAATAAGTCCATTGCAATTCAGTAGAARTCTGGCTCTCAAACTGTTCTTAAGTAGCTTTTGAAAATCCCAGGTCGATAAATGACTTTTGCATATATTCAAGATGACCTGTTCTGAGGTAAATGAAGAGAACCCTTCACAAAAGGGAAAAGTGCACCTTGTGTTTTCACCTTTTAGTTTTGCTATATACAAAGTGAACACTGAACAAGAAAAATCTA